AATCGTAGCACAACGGCTAGGTTGTTGACACTTGATAGGGTGTCTGGGTGGTCAGGTCCAAGAATCTTCTCGCAACCCTCCAGTGCACGCCGATTCACCGCCTCCGATTCAGCGTACTTTCCACGGTCTCGTAGCGCCAGAGCCAGGTAGTTGAAAGCCTCCAGGACGATAGGATTATTCGGGCCCAATGATCCCTCAATATCCTGCAATAAATTCCGCAGTATCCTCTCGGCTACACCTGCCTTTCCCTGATAAGTGCTTACCGCCCCTAGGAGTATAACCCTCCTCGCACCTTCCTCATCCCAGTCATACTCTTTGCTCTCTTCCCGCAGTGCTGTACATCGACGCAATTGAACCTCTGCGTCATTGTAGAAACCCATATCTATAAAGTATTGTCCCAGGCGAAAACACAGCTCTTCGGCAATGGGATCCGTTGAATGTTTGGCTACAACCAATGCATGTGGAATGTATGCAGTACTAACGTCTTTCCAGGTGGTCCAATGCTGAGGAAACAAACTTGAAACCACTCCGAGCGCATTGCACCTCCATCGATTCGACTCCTCTATTGGTAAATACACCTGCAAAGACAGTTGGACCAAACGGTGTAGCTCATAAAACGTCTCTTCCTCACATTTGATAGCCGTAACCAGCGAAAATCCCAATAGTTTTCCAATGGCCTGACGAAACTCGATTGGATCATCCGTCCCTTCCAAACCACTTTGACTCAATAACTCCTCTGGTATATTCTGACGATCAAAGAAGGCAATCAAACGCAGAAGCTCCGCCGCTAGGGGCATCTGCCGTGTGATTCGGTCAAAGGTGATAAAGTACGTGGCTAGGATACTTTCGGTCATGTCCGCCTCTCGTTGTATCTCACAAAACGGCTGCAAAAGTAGTTTTTTTGCTTGTTCGTCGCTTCCCCGGAAAATGGTCCAGTATTCAGATGGCGGTGTCTGGGTTTCTGTCATGAAGGCTGCCGCTCCTACAATTGCCAGCGGGATGTGGTGCAGGGAGCCCAAGATCGATGCGATGGCCTCCTTCTCTTCCTCTCCCAAACTATCCCAGTTACCATAGCGTTTCGAAAACAATGCCATGGATTCATCCTCCCCCATTTTTCCGACATCGATCCTTTCGCAATCCTGCCAAGATGCAACCCGGAGCGATCTGGTGGTGATTATCAGAGTACCCTTTTGGCCTTGCGGCACAAATTTGGAGATGGGACCCCTGCTGCCAATAAAGTCCTCCTCGTTGTCGGCATTGTCGATAACTAGTATCCAATCACCACTGTCCGGGCCTTCAAACCACCTCTTTGTACTAGCTAGTAATTCTTCTTGGTTCGTCTCAGCGCTAGCTAATAGAATTCGAACATGCTGCGCAATAGCCCTGAAACCCTCAATAAATTTTAATAGCCCACTCCCCTGCACCCAGAAAACATGGCAATCGATCTCGCTTGCACGCCGATAGACATATTCGAGGGCGGTCTGAGTTTTTCTAAGCAATGTTAGTAAGCCCCTAGAAAAATAGTACTGAGCACATACCCAGAACCGCCTAATCCATGGAGTGCGATCCGCGTGTGATGGTTACGCGCCGAAAGCCTCCTTATTGACTCAATGAGATCTTTGCGGCCAGTGAACTTGCTGTTTCTGCGATAGGGGATTATCCGATAAAGCCTAGTTGCTTCTTCCAGTTGAGACAACACATCAGTTTCTTCCTAGGAATCTCTCGAGAAAATTGATAATACCTCTGCCCTCAGCTCCAAATACACATCCTTGATATATTGTTCCGTGATTGGCAGCATTGTTCAGGTAGCCCGTGTATACGTTATTATTGGTATTAAAACTACCAAAAACATTATGGTCCCCTGAGTTCCCACTAAAGTCTCCCCCAATCCAGCCTTGGATTTTTCTGGGAAGATTATTAGGCGAGCACTTATCATTTTTGAGATCAGACATTGAAGCGAGGGGGAGCCCACCGATACATCGGTATCTTTCGCTTACTTCCAGCGCTGCTCTCGATGGCCCAGTGGGAAAAGTGATAAGATGTCAATATTGGTATGGCAGTCTATATGTCACCAATCGAGGGGGTTCAAACCCCTTTCCCTGACCCCGAAACAAGTCGATAACGCGAGATATGGTGGAACGGGTTGCTAATGACGCACCCTTGGAACGGAGGTGAAAAATTCTGTAATTTCGAGCTATGATACCCGTATGGGAGATAACCCTAGCTCGGTCTTTTCGAATTTGGTGAAGCCTAAATATTTGGCATAAGGGTGACGAATGGATATAAGAGCAAAGCGAGCACGTCTAGGGGCAGTTGCTGAGATTTAAATTCAATCCCTAGAAATCCGGTGTCTTTGAAGTGCGCGTGGGAGAGGCCGGAGAGAGGCGGACAATGAGGTATTATGACTCCTCATTGCTGACTGCAGGGGCTTGGGAAGTGCAGCGCAGATTAGTCGACCCCCCGGTCGCGGTTCGGATGGTGACTAGCATTTTGCACATGTCTCGTGCGGTCGCATGATGTTATGCATGAGACAGTACTTGTAAGTTACATTTATAGTAGCACCCTGCCATCCCGGATCCCACTGAACCGGATACCCTGCTGAGCGGGGCGGAATCTTTTGCTCCTCCAATTCCTTACAGAAATACCGGTAACCCCGTTGAACCAGAGAGGGGTGTTTTCGGATTCGTATGAGATTTTGGGAAATCCTACCCTCTGTTCCAATAGAAAATTAACCTGCTAAACTGGATGCTATGATTACAGTTAGAAAAGCTAGACCAAAAGACGAGAAAAGAATGGGCCAAATATAAAGAAAGTGGAAGCAAAATAGGAAAGAGGTATTGCAGGCTTATAGTTGAACCGGGACATGGAGGCAGAGTACTCGAGTAGAATACTTTGTATCCCCGCTACTGATACCCAAATCATAGTACTTAGGATAATGTACAGTGCAGTGCTCGAGTAGGTCAGCACAAAAACATGCTATCATGGTAGCCTACGTGGTAACGGCCAACTTGACCACCAATTGTGATCATACTGCCCATGAATAATAATCAAGATAAAGTCTCACAAGAATAGACTCAATTCATCCCAATTGATATTTATTCCTCTTCGGGTGACATGACATAGGGTCCCCTCCCCGTTGTTCCGGATACCTTGTTGTCCCGGATGAAATCCGCAAAATTTAGCCATCCGGGATAGCGGGGAGTGACCATAATAACGACCTCACCTCCTGACTACGAAGCATTTTCCTGGATGCCACTGTGGCCGTGCATTCGGGATTCCAGCATTCTATCAGCCGGAGCCTCTGGGAATACAGACTCGATCCTCTCGAATGATGCCTACAGTATTCTCGAGTACCGGTATAGTGCACCAACAGAACTGCTTGGCCCCTCCCTTGTAAATAGCATCACTCCCTGATGGGGGTTGCCCGATCTCCACGGTGAAATGAAGCGATCAGGCATCTAAAGTCCGAGCCGGCCCATAAAACTGCGCAAAGAGACGAGAGACAATACTCCTGCGCAATGCGGTACCGATTGTAGTTTGGTGGGGTCCATGGAGGCCAGCCGGCTCACGTCAGGGCGCACGGCTGAGAACTCCCAATGGAAATGGGAACACAACCGATAAATGTGAAGCAAACATAGTATATACAGTAGGGTGCGGCGTGGCAGAACAGATCATGCTGTCATACCGGTGCGAGTAAGCTCCTGCTGTCCCCCCCCCAACGAAGAACCATTCAAATCTAAACCGCGGAATGTATGATGGCTCACTCCTTACGAGTGCTCGAGCGCAGTACAGTGCCTTACAAAACTCGGTCAGCATGAAAAAAAAAAGCCAAAACCACTTCTTGTCTCCTTCCGGGTTAACTCACTGCCGAGGGCCCTCCATCCCATCACGCCAAAATTCCCGCGTTCGCATGGGCCAACTTTTCGCTGTGCTGGTACAAGTCCTCACATCAAAGGTACGGGACGGAACGGGCGTCTCCAAAGTCTAGATGCTCCCGCCATTACGTGAGTACAGTACAGTACAAAGTCCTTTGTGGAACTGTGAATGTGAAACTGAAGCTAAAAAGAGTGCCAGGTCCGTTCATACCCCCACGGGATACAGGTTCCATCGGGATTATTAGACTACGTTGGGTTAATTGCTGGAGGATAGCGAGCACAAGCGCTACGGGCAGAAAGCCCTTCACAGCGGTCGACATTTTAGCAGCTACAATTGGTTTGTGCGGCCCCCCTGCTCGGGTACCACCGACCCCCTAGCGACACGAGACTCGACTCATTGTTGCGAAGAAGGCCTCCGGTGATCCCAACCCGGGGGTTGGAAGGGAGAGAGACTGAAGCGGGGTTTCAGAAAATGGGGATTCAAGGGCGGCTGCCTATATGCCTCAGTAAGCAAAAGTGGTAGGATAAAGCGTAGCATCCAGCAACGGAGAATACTACCGCTAGTGCAGGTCAAGATACTCAGGGGTCCTGGCGCCAAGGTTTTGTGCTTTTAGAGAGCACCGGTATTTTAGTGCCCAGATACGGTACTCATGAAATTCAATGTAAATTTAACTTGTGATGATTCCTTCCGCAGAAGGGGCTCTCTCATACAACTCCCCTGTCCGAAAAACGGGTTCCAGCTCCTTATTTTTTTATGCAACCCCCCCCCCCCCGTTCCACCATTGGCTCAAGCGCACCTCCAGCCCAAACCCGCTTGACCACAGACCCCCCTCGGACGCCCCCTTCGCCTTGGGCTCGCCGAACCTCCCCCGTCATGCAAATCCCGGGGACAGGTCATGCCGAGGGCCTGGCTCTCCGACACCACTCTTGTTTGCAGGATCAGATGGTTAAAAGGTTGCATCGCAAATGTTTATCCGATACGGTACGGTACGCCATGCGAATCTCGAGGGGTTTCTGCCAACTTGCTGCTCTGTTCTTATCAAGCGTAGCCATCTTATCACACTTCACGTGGCGGATACATCTATCCGGTGTAATCGTGCAATCCTGTACCGGGGTTTATTAAGCCGTCAAACCAGAAGTAAAATTGGCAACGCCATCTAACGGAACCGCATGCTTGGCGCCGGAGCCTAAAAGGCGAGATTGTATCACCATACCGGTATCATGAGCCGCCTGCATTGGTATGAGACCCCCATATGAAGTTTCACCTTAGCCACCTATCGGATGCTTAAGCGATATCTAGCAAACAAATTATTAGCCAACCGGACAATCAACGAGATGGAACGCTCACCCCGACAGCCTACCGCAGGTGTCTCTGACAATACCAGAAGCCATACAATTCCGAAACTCACATTGAGCCTACCCTCCCCTACCGATCGCTCCACCCTATACCGGTATACTGTACAGTGAGCAGACAAAAGTCTTGGTGAATGCACCATGAAACGGAATCCGTGCCCATCGGGTACCCTGATTCCGCAAGTTGATCAGTCCAAAAACCGCAATAAACAACATTAAAAATAACAGCTAAGGAAGGAAAAGAAATTAAAAAAAAAAAAAAACAAGAACACCATTCTAGATCCTAGTATATTTTACGCCACCCCGCTAGCTTCTACCGCAGCGGTTACCGGAGAAGGCGCCGACTTCCAGAACTTTTCAAAGAAGCTATCTGGTATGGTATCCCGCTGGGTGATAAAACTTGAACTAAAGCAATTTGCAAAGCTTATCATAACCACCCTTTGATGCCTAAGATATCTGGTGCTGCTTGTGAAGTGATCGTTCAAGTTCAACCCATGCATGCTCAAATGGGTTAATGACAGGCGAGAGAGTGGAGTGGTCTTCCAGATCGATCCCATTCCATTCAAGCTAGGCTATTATTTCATGAGATTCCTTTAATGCCAGAGAATGTGCGGCCGCACAGGGCCTGGGAAGCGGGCGGTGTATTGGGGGTGGGGGGTAGGTGGGTAACTGGGAATTGTATTGTGGCATTTATGACGCCCGGCTGAATGATACAAACGGGTGACTTATCATGATTCCGAGTAGTCAAGGAGTTGACCGCAAGAAACTTATCGGGTGAGAAAGCATAAGAACACATTACTTCCTGTGGCCAAAAGAGAAAGGGAGGGATGTAATTTGAAATACCAAAAATTACCAACACTGCCTCCCCACTACACTTCATTCAATAGCTCGCAACTCATGGCATCACTAACTGGTCATTCTTCCTAGTCCTGCACGGTCTGCCGTTGTTACCCCCGTAGAGCCCTACAATCTCTCCCGCCGGTTGGAGCTAGTAGTATCATAGTAGTAACCCACTTGGGTCACTACTAGTCTAGCCTATTGCGATGGGCGGCCCACTGGAGCGGGATGAGGAGTGTAGAGTGAAGAAAATCGAGGGGTTTTCATTCCTTGCTGTGTTGGTACCTTTTTTGCCTGCTATCCATTTACCGGTCACAGTGGCGGTTTGTATAAAAAAACATGGCCCTCTCCTCGTAAAGACATAGTTTCTCCCTAACACCCTTCTTCCGGATATGAGTCCAGCTCCTCTCCAGCTATATCCCTCGATCGGCGATACTAGGATAATAAATTTGGATTGAACCTCCTTAATCCGTCTCGGTATACACTGCTAAACCTCAAATGACGGATCTCCGAGTAGCCCAGCCTCCTTTGCTTCGCACTTCCGGCAGATATATGGGAGAGACAAAAAAACTGAGAACCTCCGAACAATACCAACTAATTTCCTCCCACTATCAAGTACCTCCGAACAGTATAAAACATAGACGAACACAAAAGAAATACAAAAAACTTGAAGCCGGGGGACCACAAGACTCCCGAAAATATTCCCGCGAGCAGCGGTGATCCCCAACACAGCCAAATTGCCTATGGTGTGATGGTCACTATGCCGAGCTGTCACCCTTGCGGGAGACTACTCTCCCCCACGCAAATAACCGACAACACGCCGAGCAAATTGTGGCCACGTATCCGCTGGGTTTCCTGGCGGTGTCGGCCCTGCGCGCTGCTCAACCGTCACTGGATCCTTACACATTCCTTGGAGTCGCAGCACCGCATCTAGGTTGTTGGCACTTAGTTGGGTGGTGGGATGGTCTGGTCCAAGAATCTTCCTGCGCCCCTC